GAGGCATCCACTAGCTCTGATGTGATTAAACAACTGTTAGATGGTTTAGAGGGACTTGACCCACATACCTAGGTTCAAAGCATTTTACATAGTGTAGGTTCTAGCTTAACTATGTTATTCTTGGTTATAATTTTTGTTCTTATGATTATATGTTGTTTCTATAGAAAACTTAAGAGATATAAAAAAGTCGTTTAGCCTCGGCAGCTCTTTTAAATATTATGCATGACACAGAAAAGGGAAATGTGAGAACTCGAGGGACGAATGCAATACCTGGCAAAGGAGTTAGGAGACGTGGGACCCAGATGGGAAGATATCTTAGGCTCTGGGGAATCTTGGGCCTCATGGATCTTGCCACTCCTAGTTCCTCTCTGTTTAATATGTATATTTCTGTGTTTTGGGTCTAGTCTGTTTCCCGGTTTTTAAATCGTTTTGCAGGAATGTACATGTGCCTTCACTAATCACACCTCCACAGAGCTGTGTGGCTGGGTTCCAATCCCTGACGCGCTCGCGGGAGCATGCTTAGACAAGACAACTACAGGCTTTTCATCACCAGCCCAGCAGCAAGCCGTTACGGAGGGGAGACCTTTGGTCCTGTCCCCTATTATCAAAAGGCAGGAATAGTGGGTCCAGCGGAACATGCAACAGCATCAAAGTTGAGAGAGTTGGGAAAGAAGGAAGACTAGAAACAGGAAATCAGAAGCAAATGGGATAAGAGTACTGACGGGATAACAATGGTTGAATGGAATAAAAATCCATATCAATTGTTGGATAGAAAATTTTGCTCTACCCCAGAAACATTGGCCCATTGACAATGAGTTTTTTAAAATGGCTATTATTCAGAACATTATTTTTAAAAAATATATCATTGTTTTGTACCTGTTTCTAATATCCCCAATTATTCTATTTAAATGTTTTGAATACCCTTACTTTTATTTCAGTCTAAAACATTTTCTAATCATTACATAAGTGATAATAATTACTGTTAAGAAGTGATTATGCTAATGAACATGCCATCCTTCAGGCAACCCGTGTGTGTGTTTTCTCCTCTCTGAAGTGAAAAGCCAACTGCTTCAACGCTGACAACTTAGGAGTGGGCGTTTGAAAAACAAATGAGAAGTGTCTGCTTTCTTCATGAATTCTTGTGGGTGGTAGCTTCTGAGGTGATTATTGAAGGGGTAAGATTGACTCAAAGTGTTTGAGCATACAAAAGAGATCTCACATATAATTGAAAGAGAACATTCATTCAGTATTACAAAAGACAAAGACAGAGACACACCTTCCCGATAAGGGAGGCCTTCAGCGCTAGCTCATGGTGGGGTCTGAGGATTTAGTAGGGATGCTAGTTAAATAGGGCATTGAACACAGGAGACTGTTACAAATTCATGATTGGGAGCAGATCAATAGAGCACAGTTGCAGGTGGGACTGGTAAACAAGAATGGGACCAGGATTGGGACACGGACATTTTATTAGCTAGAAGAACTGGTGAGATAGATGGTGTCCAGGGCCTTCTCACCAAGCAGTGAAGGCATGATGGCTAGGGTACGACTCATGACTTTGCAGCTCCGAGTACTGTCCCCAGTAGAGTGCCATCCATCCAAGATGTACCCAGGCTGCCCTCCTAGAGCTGCTGGAGAGGCTTGGAGGTAACTCACCTTCCAGTGCATCCTGACTAGGGCAATATGATCTGTATCCTTGCTTACCGAGCAGAAGGAATTTAATGGAGACTTAATCTATGTGGGGACACTTTGATTTTTAAGGTAGAAAAACGTACTCAAAATATGTTAGAGACATTTTCTCTTTTGGAACATTTCATTATATATTGTAGTTTGAATAATGTTTCTATACCCCAATTTATGGGCCACTCTGGAATGTGGGTGTTGTAGGAAGCCAATTTAGCCAAAATGAAAATTCCAGTTGGGAAATTCCACTTACATCTCATAGACAAATTTCTTAGGACTCCATTGGCTCCTATGAGACTTTGAGCAAGGCATCAAGTCTCTTTAAATTCCCCGCGTGTTCCTTTACACAAATGCAGAAAATGAAGAAACGCAGGGCTTCTCAAACCTGATTACACACTTACGCATTAGGATCACCTGGGGATCTTTTAGAAACTCCCAAATGCCAGGACAGTAGCCAGAGAATGTAATTTAATTGGTCTGGGGATATACCCATACATAGGCATTTTTTTAAAGTCCCTAAGACAATTCTAATATTTTCAGCTACATCAGAGAATCATGTGTTCGATAAACTCAAACCCCCTTCTCATGCTCCCCTTATTCTAAGCCTTTGATCTACAAATGGATTTCAGCTGGACTGGACTCTGATGTAAAAACAAGCACAAACAGGAATGCAAACGTAAACTTGTTGCTATAGAATTGCTTCTGTCTTGGAGACCCCTAGTGGACAGACTAGAGACTAATCTTTTCAGATGATTGCTACACCTTTGGACAGGATTTGAAGTGCCAACCCTCCAGTCAGGAGCCAAACTGCTTAACCACAGTGCTTTGATAAACAAACCAAACAATTCTGACTCATATTCACTAAAAAACCCACTGCCCCTGAGTCAATTCTGACTCATAGCAAGCCTATAGAGTTTCCAAGGCTGTAAATCTTTACTGGAGGAGACAATCTCCTCTTTCTGCTGGGGAATGGCTGGTGAGTTTGAACCGCTACTCTAGCAGTTAGCCGTCCAGTGTGTAAACCCATAACATCACCAAGATTCCTAGAAATCAATGGAATCTAATTAACATCAAGATTAACTCTGATAAGGATGCTAATTAAGATTTTTTGCTTTCAAATTTGTTATGCACCTTTCCTTGCAGGCTAGGAAGGCAAATGAGCTAGTTAGTTAATTGTGCCAACCTGGCCGATAAACACAAGTGGGGTTAATTGAAGGGCGGAGAGATAAATGGCTTGGTGAGCCTTGCCTTTATAGTTCTCCTGTCTCTTGCTTTGTGATGGTTGGACGAGGGTGCTGCTGCCTTAGCAGTTCCCTGCTTCAGCTGGCAGGGCTGACTTCCTGCAAGACATGGACCTACCCTGATGCAGCCCTGGGTGCTGGAGCAGCCATGTGGAGACCCATGCCAGTGCTGAGATATTTACACATTCACTGACTCAGCTTTCCTCCTGCAGTCAGCATCATTGCGTGTGTTTTGTGAGATGGAGGACTTTGTGGATTGGTGTTGGACATATGGGTTAATGGGTTAATGTTGGACTTGTGGACTTGGGCAGCACTGGGTTGAGATGTTTTCTTGATGCGCACTTAACCGTTACATAAAACTCTCTCTTATACATGAATTTCTGTGGATTTGTTTCTCAAAAGTACCCAGACTAATGCAGAAAGTTTTTAATTTAAGGAGTCTAGCATTTTTATTGCACCCTGGTGGGGTAGAGGGATCAAGTTGGGCTACTAACCTAGCAGTTTGGAACCACCAGTTGTTCAGTGAGAAAAAGATGAGGGTTTATCTTCCCATACAGAGTTACAGCCTGAGAAATCCAGGGGAGTTCTACTCTGTCCTATCAGATCACTGAGTCAGAATCAATTTGATGGCAGTAACTTTGGGACGATATTTACTTCTGTTGATCCCATTCAGTAACCAGGATAAGTCCCCCAAATCATGACCGTGTTCGATGTAGAACAAATGTTTCCATTTTCAAAATGTTTTCATTTTTAAAAGGTTTTATTGTTTAAAGATTGGTCCAATGGCATTACCTAGATTCAATTTTACATTGTGCTTATTGGTATTGGCATGCTTAAGGCAAAGTTAGCAGCCCGATTCTCATATGACTGTGCGACTCCGTTCTGGCTAAGTGGATTTATTTGTTCTTTTTCTCTTTAGAACAGTGCTTTTCATCTTTGACTGAACCCTAGAGTCACCTGAGAGCTTTCCAAAATCAAATGGCCAGGCTACATCTGAGACACGATCAGAATCGTGACTTTTTTTTTTTTTTTTTTGTAATCTTCACTTTTGTTTTTGGAAACACTTTCCAAATAGTATCAAAACAGACCCAAGATTGTTAATGTTCTAGAATGACACTCTATGTCCAAAATGTATTGAGTTCCTGGCCAAAGAGGAGCTGCTCATCACCTTGATTAAAAATAGCATCTTCTTGGCTGGTAGAAAACACTTCAGGGAGGATCCTTCTAAAAATTCCATTGTGAAGGAAGTCTCTTTTTTAAATGTCTTGTTTTATTAGATGGTATCTATTTCTACTGAAAATAGCAAATGAAACTTTTCTGGCTTAAACTGACGACCAAACCTGGGTACTCTTCCCAGAGACCCTTTTCACAGATTATTGAAACGAAAGCAGGACGAACACCAAACACAAAATTTGGGGGAGTGGAAATGAATCTGTTTTGCCAAATTACATCTCAAACAGACACAGCAAAATGATATTTAAGTCTCTGGCTTTTCTTTTCCTGCCAAGTCAAAATGCATTTCAGCACTATTCCTGTCTACTTAAGCATAGATTGGGACGCGATTCACTGTGAATTTCAAGAGCCCAAGGCCTCAGTACTATAGTATCAAATGTGGGCTTAATTGTTATTCTTGAGCTTGGTTCTACTCTGTCCCCAAAGCCTATAAATCATTATCAAACAAGAAAATCAAGTAATTAAGCTCTCTGATCTATACGAACTACCTTCGGCATAAAAAGGTATTCACTCAAGTGGCTAGTTAAACTCTCTAATAATGAACCTGGATCAGGGAAATGACTTGCTAATGCGTTCACAAACACTGGGAGTCTGGGAGCCGGTTTCCCCCAACTGCACCCACCCCATCCACTGCTATTTTCAGTGGCCTGCACTAGGAGCCAAAGCCAATATGCATGGCTGAGGACAAAAACAAAAGGTAAGAGTATGTTGAAGAGGGAAAAAGGGATGCCTTCACAAATTACATCTGAGGTCTCCATGTAATGCCTGCAGGGCGTGTTGTAAATCCAGAAATGTATGGTCAGTTGCCTTTTGTTCTTAGATATAGTCAAACAAAACAAGCTGTTGTTTAGAATGAAATAACTGGTTTATTATGCACGACTTGAGAAAGAAGCGGAATTAAATTCAGTCTAGGATCTGGATTAGCACCAACTGAATACAGAAAGAATTTAATACAGAAGGAGCTTAATGCATCAATTAGTTTTATTAACATACACAGGCAAAATAAGACTCAAACTGGATACACTTATTTGGCGGAACTCTTGCGGGAGTGACCTTGGTTTTGTTAGTTTGCTGGGCATGCCACAGGTTGGACACCCCTCAGCTCCAAAGCCTTGGTAAAATTCACCTCCAGCGGCTTGCCAGTCCCCTTGGTGAGCCTCAGGGAGCGGATGCAACCTCGGAATCGAATAGTGGTCGTCAGGCCAAACTGATTGAGGCCATCTGCAAAAAAGACCAAAAAAAAAACAAAGCAAGAGGGTAGTTTAGAAAGGTTGCTGTGATGATCAGAATATGTCTCAAAGTCAGCTCTTAGTCTGAGATTAAGTTGGATGTTTGTCTTCTAGACAAAATGTCATTTTGTCATTCTGTCCTTACGTGATGCTAGAAGTGATGATGCCAGTATTTCGGTATCTCAAATAGCAGCTGTCATCCACGGTGGCTATACATTTCAGAGGAACTTCCAGAGTGAAACGGGCTTTAAAAACTCAAAACCAAACTTACGGCCATCAGGTGATGCTAACTCATAGCCACCCGGTGGGACAGAAACCACGCTGCCCCTGTGGGCTATTGAGACTGCAATGCTTCACAAGATCAGAAAGCCCCGTCTTGCTCCCAAGAAAGGCCTAACCAACTAAACTCAGTTATCAATCAGCGCGGACTCATAGCAATCCCCTTGTGGGTTTCTGAGACGGTAACCGTTTACAGGAGTAGAAAGCCCTGTCTCTCCCTCCGAGCTGCTGGGGGTTTGGATGCTGACCATGTGGGTCACAGCCCAACACAGAACCACTCCACCTGCAGGGCTCCTGGTGATCTGAGAATTAGCCAATGGCAGATCTGTGGCTCATCGCAGAGGATGGCCCACCGCAGGGTTTGAAAAGGAGCACCCTAGGGTGGAAGGCCCTCACAATCACAGTGGCACGATGGACTCCAGGCTCTCTAAACCACGAGGATGGTGCAGGGCTGGGCAGCGTTTTCTTTGGTTGCACAGGGGTCTCCACGGATCAAATCCGCCTCGATGGCCACTGACAAGAGTCACCATGTTAAGAGCAGATCTCAACAGTGGCTGTTTGGGGTGACATTGAAAGGCTGCCTTCGGTCAAGTTTGCAATTCTGTTTTAGCTCTACCAACCTACCTGCCTACAGAGGAATATCAACTTTTTGTAGTTCTGGCCTGTGAAATATAAAAACATTTAGAAGTATATGCATTTTCAGACATCCAAGAATGGGTTTGGCATGAACTAATTTAAAGTCGGGATTTAAAATGCTTAATTTTTGTTTAGTGAAATGAAGCAATTGATCAAAGACTTGAAAGAGAATTCAGACTTGGGGTCTTAAAGATGACTGAATGCTAAGTTCAAGGTCAGTGGTTCAAATCCACTTGCTTCTCTATGAGAGAAAGCTGAGGCTATCTGCTCCTGTGAAGATTTACAGCCTTGTAAACCCAATCGAGGGTTGCCCTTCAACGCCCCCGTTTCAGACTTACGATATGCTAAGTAGGATGGTGTGACTGGAGAAGAAATTCCATTTCCTTAATATCTTGAGGTTATTCCTGATTGAAGCAGAAGTATGTCTTTATAAAACCCAGAAGCAACTTTAGAAAAGGGAGCTCTCAATCACTCACCATTTCTGCTATATCTTTCCCTCTGTCAACTATAGCTGAATATGCTTTCTTCAAGCAAAGGCGCCTGGTGGAGGACCGTTTCTCTTGCCCAAATGATGAAAGGGCATTCAATCAAGAGCCTGTATTCTTAGAGTATTTATGAAGTGGCACTTGGAATATTTCTCATCCAGTTGGTTGCTTATTTATAGGCACTTTAGGTAACCCTCTGTGGTCTGCATGCCATACTTAATGTGCTGGGCAGGGATATTTGAATGCAGATTTATTGCTTGGTTTTCTTTGTAATATAAATATAAACCCTGTAATAACCTAAGGGAGAAATTTAACCCAATGCTTTCCAGAATTTCAGGAAATACATTCCCTAACATTTTATGATTCCTTTGATATATTCAGTTCAGAAAGCACACCATCTCTGGCACCGATTTCTGTTTTAAATGTCTCATATCTTTTATAAGTCAAAATTCATTTCCTCTCACCTCAGTCTCCTTCCAAATGAAACTTTGGAAGCTATCCTAAAATGTCCATTCCCATGTGGTTTTTATAAGAAACATGCTCATTTTACACACTGGAAATTTTTGGTAAGGTGTTATTTTTGCAAGTCAGTTCTAAAGGTTAGGCCCAAGTACACGGAAAATCACATTCTTGGGCATATTTATATGAATATAAATATTTTCAAAACCACTCACATAACCGAGCAAAGGCATTCTTGCGGGGATAGCCAACACTCACCTGGGAAACCTCCCACAAACACAGGGTCATTTGTGTCGGCAGATGTAGAAGCTCTGTTTGGGCTTTGCGCTTCCACTTGGTTCCCATCCACTATCAGTACAATGCGGTGTTTCAGCTTGCTAGCTGTGACCTTGTGCCATTGTCCATCACACAGATGTCCTGGGACCCCAGCATCATAGACGGCCGTGAATCGGCCAGCTCCATTGTCCACATGAAACATGAGCTAGAAAGTAGGGGATTGAACAGTCACAGAAGGTTCCATTCGGGGGAGATCATGATGTTTCTCAAAGTACCATGATCAGGTCACTAGGAGAGCTGTGGGCTGGAAAAGTGTGATGTGGATCTAACTGGGTCATTTCAAAAGAGAAGTGACGAAAATTAAAATACAGGTGTGCTCACCAATAGCAATAAATTGCCAATTTTGTACTTGGGTGTTACTGGGGGAAACAGGCATGATGTATGATGTAGGCAATGATTCTGTCTTCAGAAATGTGAGAGACAATTTGGGGTCAGATCACAAAAGCGAAGGACGTAGTGCATGTGGAGAATAATCCCACCACTTTTTAGAGTCTGTGTGTTCTGGATACATTTTTCTTATGCTGTTAAAATTGATTCACCAATTTGATTTACAAATACACTTGAAAGGATTGTTGTCTTTTTGAAAATTTATATGATGTTATAACTTGTTATATGATGTTATAATTTGATGTTATAACTTCAATTCTCTATCCTATATGAACTCCTTTGCATGGAGGATAGAAAGTTGCTACATAAATTATTTCACGTCAGAGGTGCCAAAGCCCTTGAGCCAGGAGGCAAGTGAATTCCCTAACAACGAACAACTAATATAGGAAGTCCAAAATTAAAACAACAAGAAATCTGTCTTCAGTATAACATGGAAAAGTCCTTGACATTTGAGATGACAGATTCTTTTGAAGCTGATACAGACCAGAAACATACTACTCAAATCATAAGAACATATATGGCCGTTACGATTAGGGAGCACATTTAACAAAGTAAAAGAGAAGAAATAGCTTTTTTTTTTTTAAGATGTGAAGAGCGAGCAGATAGGTGAATGTAAACTAGAGGGCGTCGTACATATGAAGGAACCATTTGGCTATGCTTGCTGTGGTTTCTGCAAACAGGACTGTGCAGAACCTTGGTGAGGAGCCCACATGCCCTGCAGGGGAACATGAGCCCCTGGTGTGTCACTAGTAACTGCCCTTATGAGCAGGGAAGAAAAGGAAGCTCAATCCACAAAAGCAAAAGCGAACTGTATTTCTGTCCCGTTTTTCCTGTGAACACCTGGATCTCTATTCCTATGCTATCTTTGAGGATAACTTTGAATCTGGGGTTGAGGAGTAAGAGGTGATATCAAGGCAAGACAGAGGATATTTTAGTCATTGTGTTTTTTCCCTTGAGAAGGAGGAAACAACCTCTGTAATAATAAAATATGAATATAGTTGAAGTCTGATTCCTCTTTAATATCCCAATGGGAAATGTGGCATTTCTTACTTTTCCCACATTTCCTATCTGCTCCCCACAGTATCCAACGTGGACTTAACAGCTCTCACTGCAGGTTGCTGGTGTTGGGTGAGCAGAGATTAAAGAGATACATTGAATTAGATTGTGCATTTCTTTTGATAAGCATATTGACAAATTACTATAACTTTTCTCTAATTTGTTTTTTTCCTTTTTTTTCTTTTTTTGTGAGAGAGTGAGAGTGAGGCAGTGAGTGAGACAATGAATGAGTGAGTTAGTGAGTGCATGAGGCAGTGAGAGAGTTGTCACTGAGTGAGGCAGTGAGAGAGTGAGACAGAGAGTGAGCTAGTGAGACTGAGACAGTGAGAGTCAGTGAGTGAGGCAGTGAGAGAGTGAGTCACTGAGTGAGGGAGTGAGAGAGTGAGGCAGGGAGAGAGTGAGGCAGTGAGTGAGTGTGAGTGAGTGACACAGAGTGAGTGAGACAGTGAGAGAGTGAGACAGTGAGTGAGTGAGAGTGAGTGAGTGGGTGAGTGAGTGAGGCAGTGAGAGAGTGAGGCAGTGAGTGAATGAGTGAGTGGGAGTGAGGGAGTGAGGCAGTGAGTAAATGAGACAGTGAGAGTCAGTGAGTGAGGCAGTGAGACAGGGAGTGAATGAGACAGTGAGGCAGTGAGAGAGGGAGGCAGTGAGACAGAGAGTGAGAGAGTGAAAGTGAGTCACTGATTGAAGCAGTGAGAGAGTGAGGCAGTGAGTGAATGAGACAGTGTGAGGGAGTGAGAGAGTGAGGCAGTGAGTGAATGAGACAATGAGAGTCAGTGAGTGAGTCAGTGAGAGAATGAGACAGGGAGTGAATGAGACGGTGAGTCAGTGAAGGAGACAGTGAGTGAGGCAGTGAGAGTGTGAGGCAGTGAGAGAGTGAGACAGGGAGTGAATGAGACAGTGAGTCAGTGGATGAGACAGTGAGGCAGTGACAGAATGAGGCAGTGAGAGAGTGAGGCAGGGAGTGAGTGAGACAGGGAGTGAGTAAGACAGTGAGAGAGTGTGAGTGAGGTAGTGAGTGAGACAGTGGGTCAGTGAGGGCATGAGGCAGTGAGTGAGTGGGTCACTGAGTGAGGCAGTGAGAGAGTGAAGCAGTGAGAGAATGAGGCAGCGAGTCAGTGAGACAGAGAGGGAGCGAGTGAGACTGAGTCACTGAATGAGGCAGTGAGAGAGTGAGTGAGTGTGAGTGAGGGAGGGAGTGAGTGAGACAGTGAGTGAATGAAACAGTGAGAATCAGTGAATGAGAAAGTGAGTGAGTGAAGCAGTGAGTGAGTGAGTGAGGCAATGAGAGAGTGAGGTAGTGAGAGAGTGAGACGGAGTAAGTGAGACAGGGAGAGGGTGAGAGTGAGTCAGTGAGTGCATGAGGCAGTGAGAGAGTGAGACACAGTGAGCAAGTGATACTGAGTCAGTGAGTGAGTGAGACAAGGAGTGAATGAGACAGGGAGTGAGAGAGACAGCGAGAGAGTGAGAGTGAGGCAGTGAGTGAGACAGTGAGGCAGTGAGTGAGTGAGACAGGGAGTGAGAGAGTGAGGCAGTGAGAGTGAAGCAGTGAGTGAGACAGTGAAATAGTGAGACGGGGTGAGAGAGTGAGACAGTGAGTGAAGGAGACAGTGAGAGTCAGTGAATGAGAAAGTGAGTGAGTGAAGCAGTGAGTGAGTGAGGCAGTGAGAGTCAGTGAATGAGAAAGTGAGTGAGTGAAGCAGTGAGTGAGTGAGGCAGTGAGAGGGTGAGAGTGAGACAGTGAGTGAGTGGGTGATTGAGTGAGACAGTGAATGAGTGAGGCAGTGAGGCAGTGAGAGAGTAAGACGGAGTGAATGATACAGAGAGGCAGTGCGTGAATGAGGCAGTGCGTGAGTGAGGCAGGGAGTGAGTGAGACGGAGTGAGTGAGACAGTGAGTCATTGAGTGAGAGAGTGAGGCAGTGAGTGAGTGTGAGTGAGGTAGTGAGACGGAGTGAGTGAGACAGTAAGGCAGTGAGAGAGTGAGACAGTGAGACAGTGAGTGAATGAGGCAGTGATAGAGTGAGGGATGACTGAGTGTGAGTGAGGCAGGGAGTGAGTGAGACAGGGAGTGAGACAGTGAGAGAGTGAGGCACTGAGACAGTGAGATAGAGAGTGAGCGAGTGAGACTGAGTCACTGAGTGAGGCAGTGAGAGAGTGAGGCAGTGAGTGAGTGAGACAGGGAGTGAGTAAGACAGCAGGAGAGTGAGAGTGAGGCAGTGAGTCAGTGAGTACATGAAGCAGTGAGAGAGTGAGTCATTGAGTGAGGCAGTGAGAGAGTGAAGCAGTGAGAGAGTGTAAATGAGAAAGTGAGTGAGTGAGACAGGGAGTGAGAGAGTGAGAGAGTGAAGCAGTGAGACAGAGTGAGCAAGTGAGACTGAGTCACTGAATGAGGCAGTGAGAGAGTGAGGTAGTGAGTGTGAGTGAGGCAGTGAGTGAGACAGTGAGATAGTTAGACAGGGAGTGAGCAAGTGAGACAGGGAGTGAGGCAGTGAGAATGAGGCAGTGAGTGAGTGATGCAGGGAGTGAGTGAGACAGTGAGTGAATGAGACAGTGAGAGTCAGTGAATGAGAAAGTGAGTGAGTGAAGCAGTGAGAGAGTGAGACAGGGAGTGAGACAGTGAGACAGAGAGTGAGCGAGTGAGATTGAGTCACTGAGTGAGGCAGTGAGAGAGTGTGAGTGAAGCAGTGAGTGAGTGAGACAGGGAGTGAGTGAGTGAGGCAGTGAGTGAGACAGTGAGATAGTGAGACAGGGAGTGAGAGAGTGAGATAATGAGTGAGAGTGAGAGTGAGGCAGTGAGAGAGTGAGACAGTGTGAGTGATTCAGTGAGTGAGACAGTGTGAGTGATTCAGTGAGTGAGACAGTGAGAGAGTGAGACAGTGAGTGAGAGAGTGAGAGTGAGCCAGTGAGTGAGAGAGTGAGACAGGGAGTGAATGAGACAGTGAGGCAGTGAGTGAGTGAGGCAGTCAGTGCATGAGGCAGTGAGAGAGTGAGACAGAGAGTGAGTGAGTGAGACTGAGTCACTGAGTGAGGCAGTGAGAGAGTGTGAGTGAGACCGAGAGTGAGTGAGTGAGTGTGAGTGAGGCAGCGAGTGAGTGAGAGAGGGAGTGAGTGAGATAGTGAGACAGGGAGTGAGAGAATGAGACAGTGAATGAGAGAGTGAGAATGAGGCAATGAGTGAGTGATGCAGTGAGTGAATGAGACAGTGAGATTCAGTGAATGAGAAAGTGAGTGAGTGAGGCAGTGAGAGAGTGTGAGTGATTCAGTGAGTGAGACAGTGAGATAGTGAGACAGGGAGTGAGAGGGTGAGACAGCGAGTGAGAGAGTGAGAGTGAGGCAGTGAGTGAGTGATGCAGGGAGTGAGAGAGACAGTGAGTGAGAGAGTGAGACAGTGATTGAGTGGGTGATGAGTGAGACAGTAAATGAGTGAGTCAGTGAGTGAGGAAGGCAGTGAGAGAGTGAATGAGACAGGGAGTGAATGAGACAGTGAGATTCAGTGAATGAGAAAGTGAGTGAGTGAGGCAGTGAGAGAGTGTGAGTGATTCAGTGAGTGAGACAGTGAGAGAGTGAGAGTGAGACAGTGATTGAGTGGGTGAGTGAGTGAGACAGTAAATGAGTGAGTCAGTGAGTGAGGAAGGCAGTGAGAGAGAGAGGCAGTGAGAGAGTGAAGCAGTGAGAGAGTGAATGAGACAGGGAGTGAGAGTGAG